TTCTGAGAACTTGGAGTTGATTGATGGTTACATGTTCATAGAATCGCAGTTTTACAATGGGCTTGCTCTGAACTTTGAGGGCACTGATGAGAGGTAGTCTAAAATACCTTGCTGATTAAGTGCAAAGGCAGTTTAGTAACTATTACTATTTTTGCATCTGATCAGGTTTATTTTTTAACTTCCAAAAGCTTATATTTCCCCCTTTCTTCTTAGCATATTTAAGGGTGTTGAAATTCCTGTTTCCTAGTTTTGAACTCTGGATTCATCCTTTGGGCATTCCAAGATTTATAGAGGCTTCCTTATAGATCAATCTCATGGTTGCCTTCTGGACCCAAGGGAGTTTACAGGCTAATATTAGCCTTTATTTTAATGTCTCAGATTAGGTTATTTTACTTCCTGGTTGGGATAATTAACTCCTATCAGCAAGAGCATTTGTGGTCTCAAGTCTAGTCATGTGGTAGTCCAAGTAGTCTGGTGCTTTGGGTTTTGGTACTCAAAGCTTTTCCTTTCATCTTGGTTATTAACCTTAACAATTCAAAAATATTCACAAAGGATATCTGTGCATTTGGGTGGGGCAGTTTCCCTGAAAATGGGGGTAGGCATCTCAGAATGTACCAAACTGGACCAAGAATTAGAATTTTGTTCTGTTTGTTTTCAAAGCACACTGCTTCTCTTGAATTCTCTCTTCTAGCATCAATGTGTTTACTTATTTACATCTTTTTTTTTTATTTCATTCTGCTTCAATTCATATTTTGTGGCCTTTGTTGTTCATTCAATTTAAGATTGTACTTCTGGAGCCGCAATACTTTGAGTTTAATGACAAAGAAGAATACAAAGCATTTCATGAACAAGTTACCCTTCAAATGTGATTGTTGCAAGAGTTCCCAACTCTTACTCCTGACTTCCTAACGTTTACCTTGTCAGTTACCCAAACTGAATAGTCAATAGTTCTCATAGCCCACACTGTGATCACATGAGTCTTTAAGAGGAGAATTCACATCTGTTATTACTCACTTTCAACCACAGATTTTTTTATAAACTTGAGAGTATCATTTCTTACCAATAATCCAGATCACATGATCCTAAAAGGACAACTCAGCACTGCCTAATAGTAACAGCTACAAACAAACCAATTAGCCCTTGCTTTACAAGTGGACCTAAGAAGACACTCATTTGCCGAAACTGGTTTGGTTCAGTGGATAGAGCCTCGGCATGCGGACTGAAAGGTCCTGGTTCAATTCCGGTCAGGGGCATGTTCCTTGGTTGTGGGCACATCCCCGGGGGGGGGGGGGGGGGGGGGGGGGGGTCGTTGCAGGAGGCAGCTGATCAATGATTATCTCTCATCTATGTTTCTAACTCTCTATCCCTCTCTCTTCCTCTCTGTAAAAAATCAATAAAATATATATATATATATATATATATATATATATATATATATATATATATATTTTTTTTTTTTTTTTTTTTTTTTTTTTTTTTTTAAAAGAAGACACTCATAAAGTTCTTTTCAAAGTTCGGTCATATGATTTGTGTTGTATTTTCTCAGTTTACACCAAGTCAGCAAGAAGAAGAGGATTAAAAATGAAGGATGTCCAATAATCCAACACCAAACTTTTCTTCCAACTTGTTTTGTCTGAGGGTGTATACTGTAAGTTCCTTGCAACTTTAAGTTATTTACTCATCTGCTCAAGCAGCAATGCTTCTATATTTCTTCTTATAACTGGCAGAATTTCTTTCCCTCATCCGCATTGGCACCAACATGTCTCTTCTTTATTGTTAGGCCTGATTACTCAATTCTTTAGGTGCACAAATCTTCACTAGACTTTCTCCAAATGAATTATATTACTAATTTCACTTAAAATTCAATTTCTATCTTACCCTACTGGTGTGGTTAAAGGTTGAGCATCAATCTATGAACCAGAAGGTCATGGTTTGATTCCCAGAAAGGGCACTTCCCAGTTGTGGGCTTGATCCCCAGAAGGGGGAGTGTAGGAGGCAGATGATCAATGATTGTCTCTCTTCATTAATGTTTCTATCTCTCCCTCTCACATGTCCCTCTGAAGTAAAAAAATAATAATAAATCTTAAAAATGCAGCTTCTATCTCATAAACAAGATTAAGTTCACTGTTTTTCTTCTGTATAGAAAATTTTATCTGTTATTATTTATAAGCTATGAGACAAGAGATGCTCATTTTGTTTCCAGTTAGCAAAAGTAATATGAATAGCATTCATGTTGAAAACATAATGGCAGTTGACCTCAATTTTTATATGAACCCATTAGATAGATCTTACTTATAATCTCTGTGTGTGTGTATGGGTGGGGGGGTTGAATTACACTATATGTAAAAGATTATATTCAATATAAATGTTGGGCTATTTTTCAGATATCATTTGATCAGTTTATCTTTTTATTGAATGGTTGGACATATAGCAAAATTATATCAATGTATCCTAAAGAAAAGTCCATTTGAAGTGTCTATTTAACACTATTACAGATGTTTCCCAAGCCACCCCTTCAAATGTATTTCATTGTGCAATTATTCTATATTGCTTATTTCTGTCAAAACAATGTAAGCTCCAGACAGCATAGTGCATATACTTTTTTAAACCTCAATTTATCTACCAAAGGTGCTAAATACATATTTGCTAATAAATTTACAAACCACCTCAGCATAATAATATGAATTACAAGAATAATACATATATATTAAGTAGTTGACTTATGACAGTACTATAATCTGAATGTTTGTCTCTCCCCTCCACCCTAATCTCCCCACCCCAAATCCATAGGTTGAAATCCTAACCCCTAAAAATGATGGTATTAGAGGTGGGGGCCTTGGATTTGAGGGTGGACCCTTCATAAATGAGATTAATGCTCTTGGGAAAGAGACCCCACAGAGCTTCCCAGCCCCTTTTGCCAAGAAGAGGGCCTTCAACAGAACCTGACCACACTGTCATGCAGATCTTGGAATTCCCAGCCTGCAGAATGGCGAAAAATAAATTTTCTATTGTTTATAAGCTACAGTCTGTGGCATTTTGTGATAGCAATCTGAACATACTAAGAGAGGGAAACATTGTATTAAATGTTTAACTTATATGTATAACTGATAAACTGTACAAGAAAATGCATGGGATATAATAAAAATGCTACTTTAATTTCTGTCTCCGACTGCTCTTTAAGTTTTATTCCATGGTAATACTCTTCCCGTGACCCTGAAACTCACAAGATAGCATCTACTCTTTTCCTAAGAAATTTCTTCCCAAATCATTCTTCCTCTTCGGACCACACTGAAGCCTACAATATATAAAAGCATTTTTAATGTTTTCCTTGTATATTATATGTATGGGTGACTATCTCAGAGTCATTGTGGTATTAGACATCTCTCTCTCTCTCTCTCTCTCTCTCTCTCTATATATATATATATATATATATATATATATATATATATATTATTCTTCATTGCTTATTTCTTTATTCTTTATTGCATATATTGCAGAGAGAGAGAGAACTTCCATGTAGTTTAGAGATAGAGAGGATGAGAAAGAAAAGTGATACTTTTATCAAGTTATAATATTTAGTACATAATATAGCAATTATAAAGCAAGCCAAAAACTATGTAAATAAGCATCCCAAAATATAAATTATATAAGATGCATACAAGGACCCCAACAATGCAATGAGAATGATGACTCCCACCATTAAATTCAGGATTGTGTCCAGTTTAAATGGGAGTGAATATTCAAACCAAACATACATTTTTAATGATCAATTGACATATTTTCTAAACCACTGTTATCTAAGTAGGGGTGAGGGTGGGGAGAGCTTAACAATATAACTTATATGCATATTTGCATAACCCAAGGACACAGACAATAGTGCCAAGAAGACTGAGGGGGTGTGGGAGCTGAGGAATGGAGAGGGTTCATGGGGGTGAAAAAGAGGGACATCTGTAATACTTTCAACATTAAATATTAAAAAAAAAAGGAACTTTCTCTGATGCTCATTCCTGAACACTTGCAATGTGGCTAGTGCAAGTGGGGAAGTTAATTATTTTTATGCCTATTTAATTTTAATTAATTGAAATTTAAATAGCTACATGCAGCTATGGTATTGTAGAGTGAAGGTTTAGACAGAAAAAAAGTCAGCCCGTCACTCAATGTTCCAAAACCTTCTGCAATGTAATAGGTAAAACGAACTTTGTATCCCAAAGTTACTGTAAATCCGAAGCACAATATATAACTTCTCCATGACACAATCTTTGTGAAGAAATCTCTCTCGAAACTTGAAAAATACTACCCCATTGAAGTCTTTCTTTTTAAAGGCACACTTCCATTTATCAGGCATCGTTTTGGTTTTCTAGAAAAGAAGCAATTTCCCCCCAATCAACCCACCCCAAAATAATAACCTAGAAACATAAGACATTACTAAAGTTCACAGAATGACAGGCACCCAAACCATGAAGAGCTCTTATAACCCACATTTGGAGCTTCTGGTTGTTTTAAAATCCCATCCAAAACAAACAACAACAAAAAAACTATCACCTTCCATTCACTGAGATTGAAACTGTGAGCTTCCCAAGCCATACCTTCCCCCCTCCCACTCTGAGGCCTTTTTCTCCACTCCCACTGAGATACCATTGACATCTGGCTCTGTATAAGTTTAAGGCATGCCGCATGATGGGTTGGCATACCTATTTACTGAGAAATGGTTATGACCACACGTTAGTTAGCATCCATCTAATGAAATCTAATGGCAAACACATGGTTTTCCCCTTGTCAAGTCATCTCTCAGCAACTTTCTAACAGTCCACACCGCAGTGATAACCTTAGTCGTCACCTGGTCCATGAGAAGCCACTCTACCAAACCTGGCAGAGGTCCCCCTCCCAGGCCAGCACCCAGGCACCTCCGACCCCCCTCCACCCTCCACCCCCCACCCCCGCCCGCACCCCTCCCGCCCCCGCCCCCGCCCCCAGCGCGCCCCGCCCGCGCCCCGCCTCACCTTTCTCGCTGACGCTCTCGCTCTCCAGCTCCACGTCCTCGCAGCTCGTGTACTCCGGCGTGGACACGCCCTCCTCCTCCGAGCTGCTCACCGACATCTGCCGCCGCTTGCCGCCGCGCTTGGGCCGGTGCGGCTTGGGCGGGGACGGCCGCACCGACTCGGACTGGTCGGAGCTGAGCGAGTCGTTGCGCAGCATGGTCTCCGCCTTCTCGCGCTTGGCCTTGCGCACCAGCACGGCCGCCGAGCTGGGGTCCAGGCGGCTCTGCTTGCGGAGCGGCTCCGGCGCTCGGGGCTCCGCGGCTGCGGGCGCGGGGGCCGGCCCATGCCGGGGCGCCGCCGGCGGGCTGGGGTTCTTCGCCAGCGGCTTGGCGCCCGGCGCCGGCGCCCGGGCCTCCGCCGTCCTCTCGGCCGGCTGGGTCCGCGGCGCGGCGGGCGGCCCGGGCCGGGGCGCGGCGGGGGCGCGCGGGCCCGCCTTGCCCTCGGGGCCCGCCTTGCCCGCGGGGCCGGCGGCCTCGGTGTGCGGGAGCGCCACGTCGCTGTGGCGCCGCTCGTGCCGGGCGCGGGACACGCGGGCGTGCATGCGCATCTGCTGCTCCTCCGGCGGCGCCGTCACCGGGTACCGCGCCAGGTTGGGGTCGCTGCGATACCGGCTCTGGTACTCCTCGCTCCTGGGCTTCGCCTCGGCTGCTGCGGTGCCCTCCTCGCGTTTCCCCTGCAGGTGCAGGTCCGAGTAGTCCTGGGAGCGGCCTTTCTCCAGCCGCCGGCTCTCCCGCCTTTCCCTCCGCTCCCCATCCTCCGAGGCCGCCTCCCCGGGCGGCGCGGAGGCCTTGGGCGCGCGTCTCCGATCGCTCTTAGGGGCGCCTTTGCCATTCTGGTCGGGGAGCCCCGGCGTCTTCTTCCTGCGATAGACAAAGGCACTTTGTCAAGGAGAGCCCGTGTGGAAAGCCTAAAGCGAAGACCGGATCTTCGTTTTCCAGATGTAAAGCCTTTCGAATAATTGCTTATAATTGGATGTCTAATGAAAAGCGACTTGACAAGGAACCGTTTTTAAACCTGTATATCCGACTAGCTTTCTAACACAAGTTGCATTACAATAGGCTCTGGGACTTTAGAAAGTATTGGTACATTTCAAATTCTCTATAAATTAACTAGATCCATAAGTGCCATCAATAATCTAATTCAATAAATGAATAAATTGCCCGGACCGGTTTGGCTCAGTGGAAAGAGCATTGGCCTGCGGACTGAAAGGTCCCGGGTTCGATTCTGGTCAAGGGCATGTACCTTGGTTGCAGGCGCATCCCCAGTAGGGGGTGTGCAAGAGGCAGCTGATCGATGATTCTCATCGATGTTTCTAACTCTCTATTCCTCTCTCTTCCTCTCTGTGAAAAATCAATAAAGTATATTTTTTTAAAAAGGTATTGTTTTAAAAATAAATAAATAAATAAATAAGTTGTATGCTAACAACTGTGAACCAAAGACTAAGAATATGTTAGATGAAACGAATACAGGTAATAATCTAGGAGCAAAAGGCCATAAACCAATTCAAAACTAAATATATACTTGATATTTGTTTGGACAATAGTGACAATCTTTTACTGTACCTGAAACGTTTCAAGAATGGACATACAAGTATATCCATTTCAGAAATCAAATTTGATAGCATTTCTTCCATAATAGAACAAAAGTAATTCTAATGCGATCATGTGCACCCAAACACCTTTTTAAGAAATTGGTTAGGAAAAGAATGGCTGACCCTTAATCTTTATTTTACTTTCTGTAGGCAACAATAATAGAAATATTGGAAAATTTGAAATTAATATTCATTTTTCTTTCCCTCTCCCTAATTTCATAACATAGTACAAAAGAATAAAACAGTTTTCTTCTACTTTTCTCTCTATCCTGTTGAAGACACTGGCAAGATAAAAGAAAGGGAAGGGGGTTTGCCAATCTTTGAATGTTGTATCATTCAGTTGCTCCATCCAGCCCTTCTCTGTACACTGGTGTACACTTGATTTTGGAAAGTTCCAGCAACTATTGCAGAAGTTACAAAAGTAGGTGCCTTGGCTAAGCATTGTGACACCACTATATAATCTATGCAATTAAAATGGAGACAAACTAAGGCTGATTTTGGAATCCTGAAGTCCATAGAAGAGGACTTTTCAACATCCTTTGATAAAAGCAGTAGTAATAAACAAAAATCAAGGGGGAAAAGTAGGGCGATTTCTATTGTAGGTTACCAAAATAGTAATTGCTAAGATATGGGTTAGTTTGAGGAAGGGCTGGTGACGGTGAAAAGAAAGGGGGAAAGTTTCTTATGGCATAGGAAGGCAAAATGGAAACATGGAAAATTCTGTTTCAGATTACATTAGTCCACAAGGGTGAATTGTAGGGGCACTAATAGAATACATATTAATCATTATAAAATATAGTTTTCATAAGAGCATTATGATTTCACTGCAAACAGTAGCTCATTAAGGCATAGTTGATCTGGTTAGAAGTTTATATAGTGTTAATTTTATTTTCCTGAAACTCTGATAGAGAATGCTTACCTTCCAGGGTTCCTATGAGGCTGAAAGGAGATATCATCTGTGAAAATGCTCTATGGAAGGATAGAGTATTATGAAAATGGAAGGAGTTCTCCAGTCTATGATTCTTTGCTTATGATTGTTTTTCTCACCTCTACCTTTACTTGTTCCATTTCCACTAACTCCTGATGAGTGTATAAGATATGATCAAGGATTCTTCAATAATTTAAAACACTGCCATTCTTTTAGTCTTGCTTCTCTCCCTAAAATTGTTACCTGTCTCTCTTTTGCTTCTACACTCTCAATGTCCTTACTGTTTTCTTAAGTATTTATACAATCAGTGAGTGATTGGTATAATCCCGTGGTTAGCAAACTACCACATGCAGCTCTTTGGCCCTTGAGTGTGGCTCTTCCACAAAATACCACGGCCTGGGTGAGTCTACTTTGAAGAAGTGGCATTAGAAGAAGTTTAAGTTTAAAAAATTTGGCTCTCAAAGAAATTTCAATCGTTGTACTGTTGATATTTGGCTCTGTTGACTAATGAGTTTGCCGACCACTGGTATATTCAAAAGGGCATTTGTCCCTCTATGGTCATTTTCCTTTAGGCCACATGCTCTTGCATATACCTGGAACACCAATCCCACTCTTCACCTGGTTAATTCCTAGTCAATTTTCAGAGCTCAGTATAAAATAAACATTCTAAAGATAAACATAACTCTTCAGGCCTGTTACATTCTATGTTAGCGTCCAAACATGTTTTCTTAAGACCATTACATTCTTGAAAATGAGTTGTCAATACAAGACCTTGCCTTTTGCCTACAGGGTTAAGGAACTATTACCTCTCTCTTGGAGGTTCACTTCTAGACCTGGATGCAGCCTGCTTCTGTTCTGGCCCCATGGCTTGCTGGGAGGGCTCAGCCCCCTTGCTCCTGTCTGGTTGTGCACTGGGAGGAGCGGTGTCCTGGGTGGAGGCAGCTGCGGTGCTTAGGGGGGTCTGAGACCGGGATCGCTCCTGGAGCCGCACTTTCTTTTCTCTGGGCACCTCAGAGCCAGCACCTGTAGCCGTGTCACTCAGGGTTCCATCCTGACTGGGCTGCTGAGGGCCACTTCCAAAGAACCAGGCCCCAGACTTGGTTAAGATTTCTTGTTGCTTTCGACATAAATTGCATACCCACATAACCTATTTGAAGAAAAGAGAACAGTATAAAATTTCTATGCCATTTAGAAATAATTTATCTTCATCAAACTAAAACATCTTTTAAGGGGGGGAAAATTTTGTAAACTTCATATTTATCCTTATAAATTTCTTGTGTAAAAGATCCTTGTACAAGTCAAAGTATATGAAATGACAGTGCCTCTGGGTAACCTTTTCTTTGCCATTCGAATCCTAAGATTCTGAGTTTCCTTTTACCGTGTATCCATCACATTTTATATGACTAACCCTGCAGTTTTGTTTAAAATATATTACTAAAATGTTTTAAAAGGGGAGCTGATTGATTAGAAAAACATTATAAGGAGCTATAGAATTAATATTTATGTACATAAACTTTAGTGTCTCAAAGGGTTTAGAAGGTATCCAGTTTCTCCAAAATCATACATTATTAAAGCCAATATTAAAATATATTTCTGTGGAAAATAAATAATAAAAGTAGGCACAAAAAAAGTTCAAGCTGTGTGTTTTCCCTAATTCATTAGTAGTAGACTAACCTCCAGTTTACTTTATGCGATTAAGTATCATTTTTCTACATCCATATTTACTAAATCAATACATCTGGGGCTGGGTTTATTCATATGTGACAACTCTGATATAGTTTCCACAAGGAGAGCTATTTTTGCGACAGTCATTTAGAAACATACCCACTGATAAATTATAAGATGTATGACCACTTGAAATAAATCTATATATCTGCTCTGACATTTAAAATGAATGTAATAATGAGGACAATGATGATAATCAAAATAATAAACAATAACAGTGACACCAGCAGACACAGAGCTGAGATTGGTGCCTGCAGCCCTATGAGCCTTCTCTTCAATACCTCTGCTTCTTTGTGGTGACTTCACCGTGCTGTCTCAGCCAATTTCCTTTAGACGCACTTTTCATTTTCATTTGTATTTCAGAAACAGTACTGCCCCATGCAAAACCTGATTACTAAACTCTAGGCCCTCATTTTCACAAATGTAAATTCAGTCAACAATTACTCAAAAATATCACATAAGGATGAAAATATCCTAGGTACATTTACATGAGAAACAATGAGGAGAAGCAGCAGCTTTGTTTATTTGGCAGAAAGAAGGAAATGTACAACTGAAATATTCAGAAAGATAGGAAAATTGTAACTGCATCCATAAAATTTGACAAAAGCTAAAGTGAACATAAGAAAAAGAGTGAGAAAAGATAATATATATTTTTCACATATAAAATGTTGCAGATAAACTGTTAAAAACTGCTGCCTTTTCTAAATGAGGGAACTCCAATAAACTAATATGTCTGGGGAGAACTATGACAGATATTTGCAAGAATATTTAAGATTGTTAAAGCTTAATTCATTCCTCTACATTCCCTCAGATCATAAAATTAATTAGCTTCACAAAAGTAATTAGGCAGGCATGATCTACCGGTATAATAAAAGCATAATATGCTAATTAGACAGGACATGCTCCCAGACGACCTTCCGGATGAAGCAGGGGCTGTGAAGGCCGAGGCAAGCCCCTTGCCTGCATTTCGTGCATTGGGCCTCTAATATCTACATCTTGTCTTATAATTGATACCACAGAATTCCCATTCTAAGATGTTAAACAAGATGAACAAGGCATTGCATAAGCCTTTATCAAAATAGAAGATTTGTGGAATGCGTCTTCAATTTCTTAATAAGACTCTATTATACCCAGTGTACCACAATCTCCTTCTGACATAAATAAGGTCCCTCAGAAGTCTTCATGGGTTACACATGGACATATCAAAAGATTACATCGAAGGGCAATGTCCCAGCGCCATGACTTCCACGCGAGTGACATCTATTTGCTGCCGCCTACACCCCAGATGGAGACAGGGGCTGTGCTTCCTCATCAGTTGCCTCTTAACTGACGAAAAAGTGGTGAGCATGTCTGACACCACAATCCATGTGCAGTAAGTCCTCACTTAATGTCCTTGATAGGTTCTACAACTTTAGGTGAAACAACAGAACAACCAAACTTACCACAGGCTAATTGATATACACAAGAGTTAAGTTCCTGTGGCATCTCATCAATGTTGTGAGGAAACAACACTGAAGAAATGACATTATTGGAGGACCTGCTGTAGTAAAGGAGGTGGTTATGACACCCTGACTATTTTATATCAATCAAGTAGACAATAAGTTTGTATTTATTACACTAATTATAAGCAAAATATTATTCAGAACCTAAATTAAGCCCTTTTCTACAAAAATATTAAAGCACACTTAGGGTAAGTCTACAAATTTTCTTTAAAACCATACAGAAAAACAATAAAAATTATAATTAATACAAGAATTTCAAAGTGGAGTTAAAATGGTCATGATGATATTGATTAAAAGAAGAGCAAAAGAGACTGTTCACTTCATTGTACATCTTTATGTTTTCTAAAAAAATTCTTATTTTGATTGCTTCACATTTTAAGTGTTATAAAAATGGGCCAGTAAACGTAATTGCCAGATTTGGGAAAGTTCTGAATTTTGACTATGTACAGAATTGCTACAGTATCAAGAAAAGCAAATAAAATATAGTTACTAGTAATTACAGTTAAATTTAACAATTCACTTAACATCACTTTAAATTTACTTAATAGGTTATAGTTAGGGGGTAAGTAGAAGCAGCTGGTTTAATATTTTTTAAATATTATTTAATCACTTATGTTTGTGGTGTTTAGTCTAATTTGGAATATACAGTTTAATTCAAAATATTTTCCTATATCTTATTTACTTGCACACCACAACATTTTTACATTTATATTTCAAAACTGGTTGTAAGTGTGGTTAATCTTTCCTCTAATTTGAAAGCAAAATTAACTATAAAAAAGTCAAAATATTTAATTAAAGTACCATCCCCAATCTCAGTTATTAGTTATATAAATTACTCCTGCCACAATGTTTACAAAGAAAAAGAAATTGCTTATATGAGTAATAAAGAAAATGTAATATAATATTTTTCTCTGACTTTTTAACATATTTCATATCAAAAATTACAGACATGTATAAAAATGAGCCAAATAGTTATTAAGAAGCAATACAGTTTATGCATGTTTAAAGATTCTCTTTTTGAATATAGTATTAAGTATCATTTTGCTTGTCTGGAACTATGTATAATAGATAACCACAAAGTGGGAGGGGAAACCTTTCTTAACTAATTTTCTAAAAAGAGCATAAGAAAATTGGTTCTACTAAAAATGCTACTTATTTCACACACACACACACACACACACACACATGCACCTACCTTTTAGAGATTGCACTATGCAGGGTACCTTGAATGAGCATACTGGGATATGTTCCATACTAATCCAAACTAAAGCAGGTCTGTGTAATAACAGCTTAATAATTTACAAATGTTAAACAAACAAATAAATACAAATCAAATGAAGTGTAATTTTGAAGCAACATGGATTCTGAAAGTCCATGTCATACATCAGAAATATGAAGAATATTTGAAAAATTTATTCGGTCCTTTTGATGTAACAGCATTTTAAATTCTATCTTCCCACATAATGAAACCATAAGTAATACATTTCATCATTTTATAAAACCCATAGAAATATTTTATCCAGAGAAATAAAAATTACAACATCCCCTAACATGTGGAGAGAGAAAGAGGGGAAAGGGGGGGTGGCGGCGGGGGTGGGGGCGGGGAAGGGAAGGGAAGGGAAGGGAAGGATGAGATTGAATACAAATTCCATGGATAAAATTGAGAATTTGACAGAAAGTGTCATTCATATAGAAGAAATACTTTACACTTGCTTTCACATGAAATGCTTATAGAACCAGGAACACAGAACAGAAAAAAATGTGCCTTAGATTTACTTGGATGGTACTATTGAGGCGAATTATGACACAGAAGTGCATAATTCTTACATTAAAATTTCTTGCTTATAAGAATTCATCCAAGGTATTTAATATTATTACATTTATATATATATATATACTCATGAAGATTTTAAAAAAGATAACCTGTGTTTAAATTTCCATTCTATATTTTACACTTAAATTTTAAAACTGACTTGTTTAATACAGTACTTTATTTTTAAAAAAAATTTACACTACCATTTTGTGTCAGTTATAGTAATTTTAACTTTCAAAATTTCAAATTACCACAACTGGCTCAAAAAGAAATAGAAAATCCAAATAGCCTTAAACTAGTAAAGAAGTTTAATTCATAGTTAAAAGACAAAAGAAGTTGAATTCATAATTTTAAAACAACTTACAATGAAAATTCTAGAGCCAGCTATCTTCACTGGAAAATTATTTTAAATATATTTAAGGAGTAAATGATACAAATCTTACATTTTTAAAAACAGGAGAGAGAGAGAGAGAGAGAGAGAGAGAGAGAGAGAGAGAGAGAGAGAGAGAGAGAGAGAGAGAGAGAATAAGAGAAACTATTTCAACTTCTGAACTCATTTTATCAAGTAAGCAGCCCCCTAAAATTAGACTCATTATACAAGGAACCCTGTTCAAAGGAAATAAAATAAAAACCCTATGTCCCTCTTATAACCAATCTATAATAATAAAAGGGTAATAGGCTAGTTAGACGGGATGTCCTTCTGGATGATGCCGGGGTCAGAAGAAAGCACCCAGGTCCCAGGTGCCTGCCAGCAGCCGGAGGAGGGAAGCCCGGGTCCAGCCAACAGCTGGGAGAAGAAAGGCCTACTCTGGCATGAATTTTTGTGCATTGGGCCTCTGGTTATGAATAAGAAAAACTGATGCCATAGTAGAAATTAATAAATTATTAGAAAAATACAACTCTCCAAGACTGAATCATGAAGAAATAGAAAACCTGAACAGACTGAACAAATTGAATCAATAATCAAAATCTTCCAACCAGATGGCTTCACCGGTAAATTGTACCAAATATCCAAAGAAGATTTAATATCAATACTCAAACTCTTTCAGAGAGTAGAAGAGGATAAAACACTTCCAAATTCATCTTCAGAGGGCAGCATTACCTTGA